AAGGCGTGCTGAGAAGCTTCGCATGGTTTCCGCACATGTGAAGTAGACAGGCAGCGTGTGACCCTGTCCAACCGTCACATCTGGACATTCAATGGACAGCTTTGGAAAGTCTGCTGGAGTTTCGTGAACTCTTGTGCCCGTTCCAGGAAATCCAGCCCTCTAGGGTAAAAGGGCCTCATGGTACAGAAGGTTCCAGGTATTTCTTAAGTACCAGGTTGCCAGTTGCGGTAGTCAATTGCTCTTGGCCACACGGTTAGACCCCACCTGTCCACGCTTCTATGCCAGTAATCAGAGAATGTAGCACGGCTTACCGTTAAAGATGGGTTTATGAAAATGTCCATCAGATTTACGTCATGAGATTACTGAAAAAAGACGAGAACCGGACAAAAAAGAACTCCGTCCTTCTTTGCTCTTCAGAGGTCAGGGCCTGAGGCTGCGCCGCGCCGAGAGCCGCCAGCGCTTCCTGGAACGCCTAGGCTCGAAGCGCGCCAGACTCCAACAGCAACTAGAGCGAGCCACCGAACGCCGCGCAGCCGCCTTGGCAAAGCGTACACGTCACGCTCACGTCAGTGCCAAGCGCGCCCAGGAGGCCCTGTCACGGCTCCAGAGCAAGGCGAAAGCCCTGGCCGCCCGCGTCAATCGCGCCCAAAACAGGGCCTCGCTAAAGAGATCGACAACCGTCGCAGCGCGGCGGCTCGTGGGCGCTGCAAAACGGGCGGCATTGTGGGGCCGTTGGATGAAGAAGGTGGGGGATCTGACAGCCAGGATTGCCCGGGATGCGCAGGTGCATGGACCAAGGAGGGAGGAGCGGATTGCTGAGAGGAGGGAGCAGGGGAGAACTATGGGGACCGTTCGAGTCGCAGAGGCTGTGGCGAGGTGAGATCCAATGACGGATGGAAGTACTGATAAAAGAATCTGTGAACCTGGCATTCGAAAGGCCGTCTAACAACATGGTCCTTCCAATTGACATCGAACATAAGTTCTGAATCCTGGAGGTGAGTGGAAAAATATTTTGAGGTCGTCCCAGAAGACTGGCAGATACAAGCCGTGCTGGCATGCGGTGTGTTCCTTTGAGGAAACGATGCAAAGTTTTGATTCTCCAGTCGCGTATGCTTGTGGAAAAATCGTGAAGCCTCGTATCACCAGCCCTACCCTTCAATCGAACGAAGATTCACGAAAGAAAGGCCATGAAATGACCAGAAACTGAACCTTCATCCTCATCCCCGTACAGAAAGTGCACCAGAGCGATCCTCAGCCAAGCCCTCTCCGCTCACGCCCAAACCCTCGCCGCCTCCCGTCGCCTCTCCCTGACGTCATCTCGCGTCAGCACCGCCCGCCAGCTGGGTTCCGTCCGCTGTCAGCACGTCGCGGACCGTAATTCCGCCGCGAAGAAGGCGGCTTTCGAGCGGTTCGTCGGCAAGCTCGTCGACGCCTCTGCGAGGAGGCTCGCGCACAAAAGGACGGCGTGCGCGCGCGCGGCCGCGATGGGGTCGGGGGCCGTGATCCAGGGACGCGAACGGCTGGCAGTGAAGCTGCAAAAGGTGGGGTTCCGTTTCAGTTCCGCTCCGGTTTGAAGTTGGCCGTCTTCTGTTGGCAGCATGCGTGCGCGTGGGAGTTTCAATTGTAGGTTCGATTCGCTGCGAAAACATGGCGTTTCAGATGTGGAAAACTACAGGCTTCCGCTTCTGTCGTCTGCTGCTCCACGCCTAGGTCTGGTGCTTTGATCTTTGATTTGAGCTTTTGGACTTCATGAGGTTCTCGACGCAGGACTATTTGGTTTCTTTCTAGACTCCGCTGCAATCTCGTTGTCTTCTGGCTTTCCGAGTTAATACTCAGTTAATACTTCCCTCTCTTCCGGGAAGAAACATGGTTTGCTTCCAGACTCATGTCTGATCAATATCCCTTCTCCGAGTGACCGGTTGGACTAAATTCCGTACGGATGTCCTTGACACAATAATGAAAGCCTCTTTCTGAACGACATGCCGACACGTGCATCCGATCATCTCAACGACAAACAGCTTAAATATCAGTCTCATCGTGCAGATATGGGTTAATTTGGAGTCCCGCCTTGAGGCGGCCACCGAGAGGCGCGAAGCAACCATCGCACGCGTCCAAGCGCGCGCCCAAACCTCCAGAGCGCGCCTGGCGCACGCCAACACACAGCGCGCACGCGCCCAGAAGGCCGCGGCGTTCCGCCTCGAGACGAAGCTGGAGAACGCGCGCGCCAGGAGGTCCGAGACTCTTGCGCGCGCGGCCGCGCGCGCAAAGCGAAGCGAGCGCCGACGCGCGTGGGCTCGAGGGTTTGGGGTACTGAAAAGTGCCGCGATCAGGCGAGGACTCGAGAAGAGAAAGAGACGGGCAGAAGAGAGACGGGCGGTATTTCTGGCGACCAGACCTGGGAACGTTGCCCGTTCGGGACGCCGCTTGGAGGGGTCGGTGGAAGGGCGAGTCGCAGAGCTGGACCAGCGCTTGATGTGGGCTGCAATGAAGTAAGTCGTCAGCGGTTCGTTGCACGTGAATCTTACTCCGTCCTTCCCGTCTAACGCGACGGCCATTCTTTTTATGAATCGCCAAAGCAAAACCCGGATCACAGCTCTTCACGGTAGCTGCTGTTCTCCGTTGTGCCGATCGATGTCCCGTTTGAAATTCTACGATTTGAAGTTCCTTGCCCTAGTACTTCGATTTGTAGGGACATCCATACGTCTTCATCAATTTCAAGGCGTAGTTGAAGTTTGAAACCCAGACTTTACAAGGGGAAGGAATGAACCCCTTCTACCAGTCGCCTCCAAGTTTGGCATTGCTTAAGGCAGTTGACAAAAGAGCTGAATCTATATCTTCCGGCAACCTGTCAGTCGTAACTTTGTTCATCTTCCGCTTACCAGATATGTTGGTTGAAGACGTTCTTCTTATAATTACTTCCCTCTTTCGCAGCCGCGCCAGACACGTGGCTAGCGTCAAGGAGGCCGCCAGACGGACTGCCAGACCCCGGGTTAGCTCCAAACCCGTCATGCAAACCCAGATTCCCGGAAATTGGGAAGCGAAGCGAGAGCGCGCGCTCAGGCGCTGCGCGACGCGCGTGCGCAGAAAGCGCGCGCAATGCTTGAGAAGGTGCACGAGACGAGGACACGTGTCAGCCAGGCTAGAGCTGAAATAGCTGCTGGGCTCGCGAACAAGATCGAAGCGGAGTTGAAGGCTGCCGTAACTAAGAGGTACGGCTTTGTACTCAAAGTTCACTCCAACCTTTCCTGAGATTTGAACCCGACAGAAATGTTCCTGGATATGCGAGGTGCCGTTTAACCTCAGGATTTTGCTTCGTCTCGCTCTTCAATCTGGACGTCGATTCGCCCTCCCTGCGCGAGCTCTCCTGTTGTCGTTTTTCTGGGTTGCAAAAAAACATGAAATTTGAGCAGAAGACGACTACTCTATTTCAAGGCTTGAAATTCTGGGGACCATCTTCAGTTGGATCCAACATCATCTCCTACAAGAGCATTTATCGTTCTTGGGAAAACCAGAATCAGCAAAGTAGTATTCATGGACCTATTCAACTGTAGGTTATTTTTTTGGTACGTATGTTAACGAGGATCTCTTTCTGTACCTTCAGGGACGCCTTCTTCCGTGCTCGCCGCCTCTCAGCCGACCACAGGGAAGCCGCGGCCACGGCCGCGGCGCAGCAGCTCCAAGCGTGGCGCGCCGCTGGCAAGGCACGTGCCTCGCAGGAAAACGCCGCCAAACGGCGCCACGTGTCGCTCGAGGCGACGCGGAGCAAGGCCGGGAAGTCGGTGGCGCGACACCTGGACGTGGTCAACCAGCAGAGGGTTAGGTTAGCCGAGGTGAAGAACGGGATCTTGGAGAGGCAGGAGAAGAGGGTTAGCGAGGGGGGTAAGAGACGTGAGGAGCTGTTGGTGGCTAGGCGCGCGAGGGCGCAAGAGAGCGCGGCCTTTTCGTTGCGCGCGGTTACAGCCCATTAAGCGCGGAATGCGAGGACTTGTGAGAGTTTGCCAGCTGGAGTTTGCAGTTGCAGGATTTGTCGTTTATCCTGGAACTTGGCTGGCAAAATGGGCGGAAAGCGGGTTCAACACGGCTGTACGTTTGTTTGGAAGGATTGTGTAGGTCGATAAGCGCATAATACTGCACATAGTACATGGGTAGTGTAATCGACGGTTAGGGCGACGTACATATTAGCAAGTTGAAGGCTTAGTCGAGGACGCTACAAACTAGGAATATTGTCCAGTACTGACTTCGAAGGAGTGGACGGAATCTGCTTAGGCATGGCAGGTTGTGCATAGAACTAGGAAAATACAGGATGGTGGATTCTTCTGATTGTCTAAAACCGATTTCTAAGAAGCATAATCGGGAAGTGCGGATTGCCCATTTCATTTCTTCCTATCAATCTTTTCCATTGGGCAGAGTCGCGGTTGGACGCTTAAATCTGCGCTGCCGACATTTCGTACAGTTCTCTGGGGAGCAAGTCACTGTTATTTTGCGATTGGAGTTCCGCACAAGAATTGAGCAGCGCTCAAGCCGGAGAAGCAATGCATGGTTTCTTCGTGCACGAACCTCCTCTTCGGACTTCAAGCATGGTCAAGATTTGCTTCGAGTAAACGGGAACGTCACACATGTGGATGATCTTCAATCTCCATGTCCGAGCAAACAGTTTCCAAGACATTCAACAGTTGCATATACCTAGTCAATCATCCGCGAAACGATTTTTATGCACTTGATTTGACCCGCGTCGGAATCTCAGGTACACGACCTAAAAGCTGTTCGATCAGTCGTGTACCTAAGGTTTACGGGTCAAGTCTCTTTGCTTTGACACTTGAAACTGGTCATATATACTATAAGTTTCCAATGGATACGCTGCGTGTGCAGGCACCATACAAAGGGGTACTGATGCATAGCCAGAATTAGAAGCCAGACCCATGCATTCTTTTGAATCGAACACAACCGGCAGCCTTCACCTGGCCGGGTGCGCATATCTTCGCACTCAAACATATTGTCATTAAAGATACTAGTAATTGCATAATGTTGCCCACCGACGAACTTAAATTGAACTTAAATTGAAACGGTTGAAAAAGTCCCCGCTGAATTCGCAAAACAACCATACTTCGCAGTACGTGGCATCGCCCATGTGACTGTTCACGGTCCTTACAATCCTTACAACAATAATGATGGGCTTTTGACCGATCGGATTGTACTGGAGTGTGTGTTCGATTCATGTTTCACTTGATCATGGGAAACGGCCGCCGTACCGCACGTTACCGGACAACATGTATATAAAACCCACACATATGCAATTCTCTTGTGATATCTTTTTATAGAGGCTACATGGCTCCATGGCTCGACCGCTGTCGAGTGCCATCTGAGCGCATATTCGATCACTCAACTCGGCGGTGTGACCCGTTGCACCAGAAAATAGTACCGTAACAAATTAAGTGTTATGCCAATCAGTCTAGCGAGAATGATTGGCAGCAGAGCTAAGGTCTCGTCGATCGGTTATCGTTGAACAGTCTCTGATCTGCTGGACTAAGACATTGGTTGCGAGTGCCTCTCCTGCTCTTCAACGTAGCATTCACAACACTGGTAGCATTCACAACAATGGTCCACATTTTTCAAATACAGCGAATCCGTTTAGTGCCAAGGACGCCGGTCATTCAACGCTGGGCAATCAACACTCCGAAGTGCCAGCCGTAAGTACTTGTATGAACCTCGCAGTCAAGTGCAGTCAGTGTGGACGGCGGGCCCTTCTGCCATGCAATGGACGCCGCGGACGGTTGATGTCTGTGTCTGACGGGACGGGCTGGCGGCAGGTTACGTTCATCGGATCATCGGATGACGTGACTCTGGAGTCTGGCGCCCGCGGCCGGCCCGCCGTCCGATCCGAAGGCTGACAGCATGTGATTACGTGGCATTGAGACTACGCCAGTCTGCCAACTGTGTGTCGCCATCAAAACTTCACCCTGATCATGACATCAGCATTTTCGCAAGCAGCTACGTCACAGGGTACAAGGCAGGTACCTACGTCATGACCGTACTTTCAATTATTCATACCGTGATAGAGTCTTCAATACAGCGGGTTTGCAACAGGCGCGAGGAGTTGCAAGTTGCCATTGCCACTGGAATTTGGAGGTCCGAGGCATGCCAAATTGCCAATGCTCATTGTTCATGAGTCATCGGTACTTGTCGATTTCACATATGTAGACTAAGGATAGTGCTCGGGGGCACCAACAAAACCAATAAAACAAAACCCTCTTGGGTTTGCCGGGTTGGTTTTCTCGTAAACAAAAACTACGGATGCTGCAGTTCAAGAGTCCAAGCCACCTTGAGAGCTTAGGTAGGTAATCTCAAGATTGGAAGTTGGCTTTTCCTACAGTAACCGCTCTGCGCATTTAATAGCCTAAACCAGGAAATGACAAGCTCCGCGCCCGTACCCACCCTAACCTCCGGACCAACCCTGCCCGTCCCCCGGGCACTCTCCTTAGTCAACATGGCCTTTGAGCAATGAGCGACTGTCGAACATAAAATTGAGACGCTCACCAAATAATCAAACCTGCTGTACGAAACCTCGGTACTTTTGAGTTTTCCCACGGCAAATTCGTGAAAAAGCGTGCCTCATCATTACGCACTTACTACCTGCGAAGTACCTTCTACCGGTTTTCCCCGGAAGAAAAGTCTCAGTTTTATGATGTTGAGCCGTATAAATATTACTAGGTCAAGCCCGGGGGACGGGTCCGGTTAGACTGACGGTCATAGGGTTGTTCCCTAATCGCATTCCCCGACATTTTTGAGTTAGGGACCTAGGGTTTTTCAGCCGGTAGGTACGTCGATTCTCGGCAGATATATTACTCGCTAGTAGCTACCGGTCTATCAAAACAGAATCGCAAATTACGGGATCGGGTGATCCGACCGGGCGCTTGGGCAGTACCTAGTCCTCGATGATAATAAGCTATGTCCTGCCAGCTGGCCCCATTCCGCAACGGTTCCTGAACCCGGCCAAGCTGGAGTCTCCCATTCTGCTGGTCAGGACTCAGGACTCGGATCCAGTCTGTCTCTGGTACCTAAATCTCATGGATCTAGGAGCTAGGTACGGTAGCTGTACTACGCTGCTGTAGGAGTTCATGTAGGTACCAGGAACTGTTCTGAGAACAACCGGACTCCAATGCTGTC